CAGAAGCTTTTATTCTTTCCCCCCCCCCCCCCCCCCCCCTTTCCCAAATAATTGAAATTATGGGCTTGATTATACCAGGTACACATCCACATATCGCCAGACCTGCAGCAACAGGCACCCTGCAGAACAACGGCTCCTGGCAAAACCACTGAACGGCATTTATGCAGTTATAAGTGTGACGATGCACCAGCATCTGAATGCCAAGCGTCTCTGCTGAAAGGCATTTCTTATTCAACTGACTGAGACACTTAGCTGAATGCTGGAGGAGGTTTTCTGGAGATCTTTTTCAATACTTGTTATATCCAAAGTTATGTCTGGGTGCTTCAAAAACAGGTTCCCTTAAACTGTTCAAAGGGTAGTAGCCCTACCTGAATGCTGTGCAATACAACCTAATACGCTGTGTTTTTCCAACATTACAAATTAAACATTATGTATGAAAAGCTACTCCAGGAGTCACTTGAGGCTAAACAGTTAACGTGTCCCCCCCCCCCCCCAAAAAATAAATCAGGAAATAGCAAGGTTAAATTCTAGGTGTTAAGAAAAATGTATCCACCCAACATTGCTGCACCAGACAAACCGAGGCACTGTGGTCTGGTGTACATACATTGCCGTATATATGCCACAGCGGGAGAAACACCTCACTTCCCAGTGTGCTCAAAATGGGGTTTACTCAGAAGAACCATAATTTGACCACAGAAGCTCAGTGTTAATCTGCTTGCCAGTACAATTCAGGGCTAAAAGGGAGATTGTCTGTTCTAGTAAGGCTTTGTGAATTACGCTTCCAGGGGACTAAAGCCAAAACACTCATCTTCGCTACGGAAAGGTAAAAAGTTGAGTTTTCTGGCATAGAATATACAGAAATGACACTTGGGCATTTCTCTTTAGAAAAGGAATTGCTGCTTCAAGACCCATCATGCTGAAAAGCTCACAGTTTTAACTCAAAATACCTGGAGTGTGCTCAGACAACAGCGTCCACTTTACCTGGTTTGCTATCACAACAAAAATACCTCCCCCCCCGGAAATGCGGACCTCCAAACGCCACAAAGAATCACGAGCATATTGCGGCTCCTCTCTCTCCTATGTGTAAAAGACCAAAATTTGCATCTTAAAAGAGACTGAAGGCTGCAGAGAAATGGTAATTGCTGAAGATGAGAAGACGACGTCGGGATTGCTGCATATTTTTATCACATGGCAAAACAAGCCCCCTCGCCCAGCAAAGCTCCACCGACCACGGGGAAAAACCATTCCCAAGGTTTGAGTCCTAAACACACAGCGAGGTGGGAAACACGGGCGCACGTTGCCTGTGCAGTTTCAAGTCAGTGCTCCCATGCACCTGCGTTAATGTAGTTTTTATTTTCAGGACTGTTTCATATTTATTTAAGGCACGCGCCTCATCCCAATCAAAGGTTGCACAAAGCTCAATTAGAAGAAGCGACGCAGTATCTTATCCAGAGCCTCATTTAATGTCTCAAACCCTGGTTTGGAAGAAAGAGTTGTTGGTTTCTACACATGGTTTTGGAGCGCATTCACTAGAGCACACCAGCGCTCTGCCAGTTTTAGCAGGTCCGTGCTCACGATGGCTTGAGAGCAGGCGGGGAGCAGAGCCGCTCCGTGCCATCACACGCACAGCCGGGGCAGATTAGGAAACCCCAGTGGGTGTGGGTTTGAGTATAATACGCTTGATTTGAAGATGACACGTTCTAGGTGTGCAAGCACACCTCTGCAGCTAGCTGCTCCGTCTCCCTGTCCTGCAAAAGGCGTGGAGAAGGTGAGCGTGCTGCTGCAAGCTGCCCGGGGAAAGCCAGTTCCCTGCCACTGCGTCAAGCTGCCTTAGCCCTAAGGCCCCCACTCCTTCCCTCTTCCACTCCCTTACGTGTCCTCTGATTTCTGCAACGGATGAGGCAGCGCGCCACTGGAGAGCAGCCTCGCTCTTACCCTTCTCTGTACTCCCTTCCGAGTCTTGTAAAAGAGATACCACTTGATTACCAAAAACTGGATGAAAAAGATGCGAAAAAAGTGGGCAAGACTTGCACAGGAAACTTAACTACTCCTGTGTCCTGGCTTGAGTGCTCAGTGTGGCAACCTCAAGAATGCATTTTTCATTCATGTATGTCTCTTGTTCCCGTTTTTTGGGGGGTGTTTTGTGGTTTTTGTACGTCTGTTTTTTTTTTTTTTTTCCCTGTCCTTAAAGCGAATGCTAATGACACCACCAGGTGACAACACAAACACTGGATGAGCAGGGTTGGGACCCTCATTTTCCATGCCGAGCCTTGTGGTGAGCCAGAGGAGTCACTCTCACCGAGCCGGGGATCAACATCTGCTTTGCAACGCCCAAGCAATCCCCAATTTGCTGCCAGCAGTGGTTGACCAAGGACTTCAGAGCCCATGCTGGAAGGGATTGAACCCCAGGGAGCCCTGTCCCTCCTCTGGACCCATCCCACCCATCCCACCCCTATCCAGCCACCTGCCCTGTCCTCGTTTGTCCAATCCCAAGTTCCTGCTCCAAACCCTTGGGCACCAAGGCTTCACAGCCCAATCCCCTAGATGATTCTTCTTATTATTTTTAATCAGGAGCAAACCAACATATTTTTCCTTAGTTGCCTTCTTGAAAACAGCGAGACTTGCTTTGGCTGCAATCTTCTCAAAAATTTCATCTCATGTAGACACCTAACAGGGAAAGTTTAAGGCCAAATTCTCAAAGTTTAGAAAAATCACAAGCAATTGAGAACAGCCTCTTATTATTTACAGGAAATCCAACACAACCTTAACAGACAGTGCTGTCAGTTCTGTTAATAATTAAAAGGCAGCAATCTATTACATTATTTTTAGTCGTGCCCTTACTCTCCTACACACGAGGGTCTTAAAATATCTGCGCATCTGGGAAAAGTCTTTTTCCATGTCAGCACTTGGATTCTATCCCACGGGATAAATTCGCCACCCGCATACAGCGTTAGCACTGAAACGATTTTAACTCATTACTTCTATAAATCAAACACAGGGAAATCGCCCCGGTGCAATCGGTTTAATTACAGTCGTCCCCCCCCCCCCCCCCCCCCCGCCTGCCCCTGCTATGGATGCGACAGATCACGGCTCTAACAAAGCTGAAATTCAGAGTGCTGCGGGAGGACTCGCTCGGCTCCGGTCGCACACGCTCTCCAGCTCCTGGGAGGTCCAAGAGAAAGTCTGAATGAGTTCAGCGGGTACGTCACGGCGAAGGCTTTGGACGCTCACAAGCGTTGGCAACGGAAAAGCCTTAAAAACCTCAAACAAACAAACTGCCAAGCCGACATTCGTTGCCGAACAAAGAAACCCTACCTAGCACCCCACGTCCGACGGTCCTGGCCACGAAGCGTGTTTGGAGGGGGGGTGGGGGGGAGGTAAGGGAAATTTCTACGGCGGCGGCAGGTCCCCACCACCCCGGTGTGCGGGGCTGAAGGAGGCCCAGGGCTGGCACACGCGGTGCGCGGTGGCAGCTCTCCAGAAGTACATGATTGACGTCAGTAACTTGTGTAATCATCCTGCCTTAGCTCGAGTCTATAAACAAAGTTTCGGGGGGGGGGTTGTGTGGTGGGGTTTTTTGTTGTTGTTGTGGTGTTTTGGGGGTTTGTGCTTTTTTTTTTTTTTTTCTTTTAATCCAGCTCTCAGTAGTTGTGTTTTCTCATAGGGCTGGAACTGTGAAAATATTTGGAGAAACCTCCACCATAAATTAAACTGCAGCGACCTGAAAGGTCCGCCTGCCACTGAACTCGTCCTCCCGAGCCTGAAACCTAACTACTGGATTTGCTTGTTTCTTAAAGAAAGCCACAACTGGCACTCCTGGAAAAAAGTCTTTAGAAAGCCTCCAAACAGTACAAATCAGTCAGAAAAATATCACGCTGATTATGATTGATTACCCCCTCCTCTAACAGCCTTTTCATATCGCAAGCCTAGGAACAGACTGTGCCTTCTGAGATCCTGGGAGAAAACCTCAGCTGGGGTAAAACACCACAGCTTCACCCCTATCACTTGTGGTCAGACCTCCCGCACGTAAAAAGTGAGTTCTACCTTCCCACAGGCCAAAAAAGATCAGGATAGCTTTTGTCTTTTTTTAATGCACGCTCAATGCAATCATCTCAAGGCAGCTTTGTTTCAGCTTCGTTACGATATTGGGAGGCCCAGACAGATTGTATTTTGGCTACACAGCAATTGCAAAATCCCTACACTGACGAATGGCGCTCTGCGACGTTCGCCTGATGTTCTCCAAGTGATTTACAGAATGCGAGACAAACAACATAGTACCTGCTTTCTTCACGAGCGATTCTTGAATCACATCTAATTCATCTTCAAAACAACCTCTGCAGGGTGCACAGCAATACTATTCTCATTTTCAGGAGAAGAAATGGATAGGACATTGCAATGCTTTACACAGGGCCACAGTTTAGAGAATCTGGACTGGAGATGGGAACAGCTTTTATCTTTCCAAAGGTAATTCCAGTGAAAAATGCTTCAGTAAATCTGAACATCTTCACTTGCAATTATTTTCTGGTGTTGTCATGTCTGAAATCCCTCACTTTTTTTTTTTTTTTTTTTTTTAACCTCAACCCCCCATTACTGCTCCTTCTCCCTTTCAGACTGAATATATACACGGTAGGTATTTTCCCCATATTCCTTGACAGCATTTTATGTTTTCTGCTACAAAACTGACAAGAGATCCTGATGTAGAAGAACTGCAGCAATGCCAACTTTAAAAAGCATTACTGGAAAGCCAGAAGTTTGAACTGTGCTGCCTTTCCACTGTCTGCAACACAGGTATTGTTCCTCGCCTTGGTGATGGATGTCCCCATCGTTGTTGATGTATTTCTCAAAATCATGAAAAAAAAAACGGTTCGAGGCTGAAGGCCAGCTGGTTATGGGGGTTGAGACCACATCCATTACGGCACAAGAAACTCCGAAATAGCGTCAGCTAATGTCGGTATGGATGCTGTAACGAGGAAGGAAGACTCGAAGAGCATCATGCCTACCTTGTTGATGTGCAGTTGCTGTTGCTGGAATTGCTGTTTGTGTTTCTCCAAGAACTGCTGGTGCTGCTGCTGGATCACTAGCTGCTGGAGGGCCTGGGCGTTCTGGGGAAGGGGAGCAGACTGGGTGCGCCCCAGCGGGCGATGCTGCCGGAGTTTGTGTATTGAAGGGGAGACCCGTTCTCCACCAACCAGAGACTGTGCATGGAGGGGCAGTCCTGAAAGATACCAGTCTGAAGATAATATGGAGGAAAAAACAGCAGAGAAGAAAAAAAAGGAAGAAGAAAGGAAGGGAGAAAATGGCTGTTGAGTAACGCTGATGGTGACAATGATATATAACGTTAAAACCAGCCACCTCGCCATTTACAGCTGAAGCATCCTTAAAAGAGAACAGATAACAATTAATTACCACCAGACAGAGTAACATTTTGCTTTCTTTTGAATTCTTGGTTTGCTTGTTTACTCACGGATCCCAGGCAAAGGTTTAATTTCTTAAAATAAATCATCAATACCTTACAGACCCTCCTATCACTCCGTGGGTGAGGTGAATTAAGATCGCAGTGGTAGCCTGGAGAAGTTAAAGTCTTACAGCTTGCCTTGGTATAGGGAGCAATTCTGGGTTCATTTCTAGCAAAGCAACAACCCAAGCTGCCACCCCGTAGCATCCAGCAATTATACCTTACAGGGGGCTCACTGGATATGCTGAAAGGATGGTGGATGTTGATGAAGCTGCTTCCCACTCTAGACCACGTGGGGAAGCATGCCTGCCTTTGGCTGTGCTACCTCCCGCCCCGCCGAAATGGCTAGGGATGAAAACTTCCACCTGATAAACCCCTGGCCAGGTTTGTGCTGGAAAAAGGCACTCCCTTGAAGCATTTCAGGAATATGGGAGCCATCAGGCTTCATTATTTCTGTAGAAAGAAAGTTAGAGGCCAAGATGACAAATAGCTAGAATAGTTTCCACTTCTGTCCTGTGTATACATGCTAGTAATTTAATGAAAACGTAAGGTTATTTTGAGATAACTTGCATTACTCACATGCCCTTGGCAGTTTAGGTGTCGCTGATGACTACCATGGGAAATACCTGTCTGAGCTCCAGTAAGGGCACGTCTTTAGGAAGCGTCTTGTCTTTTTAGCTGTTCCTGAGGTAAGCCAGTTCTTGCTCTGCTCTCCGAAAACATGCCTTCACATACTTCTTAGAAAGCTGGGACATGAAGACACGCCCAACACAAAGCCAAACCCAAGGGTGGAGGAGCTGAGGATAAGCCTTTACTTTTGTTCGTTACACCTTGGGACAGAAAGGCATCACTGGTGTCTCCCTAATGTAGATAAGGCTGTACACACTTTTAGAAAAAAAGTAATCTTTTGCTTTACCTCACCGTATGAAACAAACTAATGGCTGCACAAGTGGTCGGTACCAATCAGAAATACTGTCCAGTTCAAGGGTCAGAGACACTGTATCTTTGTCTTTGGTTGAGAAGAGAGAGAAGCTGCCCAGAAGTCTGCAGCCAGCTGAATACAGCAGTTTAGAAACACGCTGACATTTCTGTCCCAAGACATTACCTCTTTTTCCCACTGATTTACAGAGCTGCCCTATATGGAAGAACCTGACTCATTTAAAAGCCTCTCTTCCTGGCGAAAGATTTTCTGAGTTTCTCTCACTCTTTGCTTTTTTGAAAAGCATCATGTATCTCACTTTATAAACGTGTGTGTATTTACATGCACACATACGTCTGTGTGTGTATGAATATATGAATAATTTGGAAAGACGTGGTCCATCTCCCTTGTAGCACAGTTCCTCTTCCCAAAAGTTCAAATTAGGCAGCAGAGGAAGGGATCCTATACAATTTGCATAGGACACGTTGGAAGACCACCTTCCTCCAAGTGAATGACCAAGGTCCCCCTGTGGAGGCTTTCCAGGGAGACACCCTGTTCCTACTCAGAACATACATGGCAACCTGAAGGATATTATCCAGAGTAAGCTGCCAGAAGAGGAACAGCAGAATTCTGCTCTAGTTTCCCTAAATCCTCTTGACTACCTTCCTCCACAGAAAGAGCGTGTCATCGTGCTGGATCATTTTGCAGCCGTCAGGAGACTATCTCCAGAGTTGAAGGCTATCAGCAGAATACTAATAAACTCCACTTTGCTTCCAAGGAAGTTCGAAGTACGAACTGCAGTTTGGCAGCCAGTCCACTCGGGGCTTTTGAGACCATGTGTTAGTTTGCTCTCTTTCAGTTGCTGCATCTGGAACGTGTGTTTCTTCTTGTTGTTCAGTTGTATTGTGAATATTTCTCCTAAGTGTTGGTTTATAACATGTTGTACTCACTCTGAAAACACCACACGTAGCAGGTGGACTAGAAGGAATACGCTTGGAAGCAAACACAGTGCACTGTAAACCGAGGGAAGCTCTGAGAGAGGTTGAATAGGAAACAGAACAGTATTTCTTCCTGCACGTGCTTTAAAGCAAACACCAGCACGGACAGAGAAGGAAGTTTTGGCGATAGGATAAGAGGGGAAGTCTTCTCCAATGGCTCCTCATCAACAGACCCCAGGCAAAGGGCAACTGGTGAAAAGCCATGTCAGGGCTCTGGGTAACCTTGTCATGCCACAGCAACCACGGCAGGAGGTGGCAACAGAAAATTGTGTAAAGGTTCAAGGAATCTGCACACACCATCCCACGGCGCTGAGAGTGCTGGCTAAATACCACGCTCCTGCGCTTCTGCTTCCCCATCTGTACATATTTATAAGCTTATCACAACCCCACGTATATTCCTGGGGTTTCAGTGTAAAACCAGACAGGAGCCAAACCAGCGAGCCGCGCTGTAACGCTTCCGTGATCAACATCTCTCAAGAGTTTCCATGAGAAATGGAATGAAATAAATAAAAATCAACACGTCTATAACTGACGCAGAACATCCTTTGTTCCAACATTACATACTCTAAACCAGAAATGTATCCTACTGGGGATTATTGCTTTGAATCGACCCTATTTATAGAAATATGCCTTCCCCCAGGTACTTAGTTCTGAAAATATGACACAGGGAGTGATTCAAAGCAATTAGCATACTGAAAATGTAACATATACAAACAAATACAATCTGTTTGAATGCAGTTGATTTTGCCATCTTTTTGCCATTTATAATAATGATGAAAAGCAAGGATTTCAATCTGTGATTTGGTAAATGCGTGCCTTTCGTATACAGAATAGAAACCCTCCACAATAAACAGCAAAGGCCATCATAAGACACAACATTTTTGCCTCCACTTTAATCTAAAGCGGTTAGAACTCTTAGCAGTTTAGTTTTAAATTTTTACCTACAAACTTATGCTTTGCTTATGGAAGTAAATCCAACTCATTTTCATTCTGCCAAAATGGCAAGGCATCCTCCCTCTACCTCTGGATGAGGTGGGCAACCTCTGATTTTGCAAATGTCTCCCCTATCCAACACATCAACAAAGACACCCTAAAGGTTATATATTGCATCTACAGGATGTAGAGATGATGCATTATCTCTCCTGTACAAGAGACAGACTCTGTAAAAAAACAACAGATGTCCCTTGCTCTCTTTCCCCAGCTGGGGCCCAGTTCTGCACATTATCCACGGAGCGCTCACCTGTGACTAAGGGAGTTTGTGCAGTTGGCTGTTCCAGTAGGACCATGTGTTGCAGAAGAGGGTTATGTGCAGTTCCCCCATCTCTTTCCAACGTCGTAGTGCTCAAGTAGGGAGTGAGGTGAGTGCCAGGAAATAAAGAGATCCGCTGCTGTAAGGTTGGGATAGTAAGCCTCTCCGCGTCCTGCTGTGCTGATCCTCCCTGCAAACGCACAATCGGTGGCACAGCAGGTTAAGGGAGAAGTCGGTGCAAGCAACATTTCAAAGGCTGCATCCCCCCCCCCCCCCCCCCTTACACTTACGCTGGAAGGACCAGTTGCAGGCAGTCCTAGCGTGATGTTGGGCAAAGAGGGAGACGTGTAGAGTGGGAGCTGTGTTACCGAGCCTTCACGATTCACAAGTCTGTGAGCCAGGCTGGTCTGCAAACAAAACCAAGAACATCGACCTGGTGAGGGAGCATCCACAGACCGGAGCAAGGACAGGACGCCCTGTGAGGACACATCAGGAAGGTACGGAGCGTGTAACCTCGCTGCTGGTATTGGAAATGCTGAGCGGGGGAGCTAGGCTGTGCTTCAGGTCCAGCCTAAACAAGCACAGCCTGGGTGCATGCCCTGCACGCCGCTGCCGCGAGGCCAGGATAACCAACACAGGGACGATCCCGCTCCGCGACCGCCGCCGGCCTCGCCGCCCTACCGAGAGACCTTTTACAGGTTTATTTGGGCCTTCCACGGGGGGAACTAACGATCACCCATACATCCCCACCAGTGCTCTGCTTCTGCTCAGTCTTCACGCAGTGCCACTGCAAAAAGCTTTTGCAAAGAAGATTTTAACAGGTTACTTTTCCTTCGTAAGTATTTGCCCGTTTAAGGCTAAAACAGATTACTTTAAAAAAGAAACAAACAAAAAAAAAAATCCAAAAAACATTACAACGGCTGTTGTTCTCTTTGGCAAATCACAGACAATTTGTGTTATTTACTAGTGTGTTTTAGCTTAAATCAGATTTCAAAATTTCATCAGAAAGCCTTAAGGTTGCATATATGTAGCTATTTCCTGATTTTCAGGGTGACACACAAGATTTACTGAATTATCTTTTGGCCGTTTAAAGCAGGAACACTTAAGTAAAAATACCTTTAATTTCAAAACAAGATTGATTTGTAATATGCGCTAGAAAACCCATTATAAAAATTACAATAAACGACCCGATTTTCCTGTTAGGAAACAAGTGTTCTGATCACCCTGAATTCTCTGCAGGTGATTTTCCAACCTAAACAAAATAGAGTTTAGATTTCAAGATGACTTTCCGTAGAATTTCGACTGTTTATCTTAAGTGCTATGGTGAAAAAAAGGATTATGACTAACTTAATATTATACAATGGAGCAATCTATACTGATGTACCAGAGATTTGAAGAATGGCTTTGTACATTTTAGATTTAAATTCATAGTCCTGTAAGTAAATGAGATTTTGCAGGTTTTTTCCTTGGTTGCAGGGCTGGGCCAGCTTTGGGTAATAAAAACCGATTTTTCTCCCTCAAAGGCCCTAAGGTGAAACTTAAAAAAACCCTGCAGCAACCTATAGGGGGGCGGGGGTTGAAAGCATGTCGTAACTAATACTGAAATCCGAATGTTTTCTAGAGAACAATTTTCGAGAGCAGTCCTGCCTCCTTGATTTACCAACATTTAACCGGAGCGGCTGACAGCTTTAACGGGCCACCCCACCTCTGCACCCGAGGCTGGTGCTGCCTGGGCAAGGGGCAGAGGAGGGCAAAAGCCTTCCCACGACTGCCTGGGTCACCACTCGCCGCCACCCAGCTGCCTTGCAGCTGCGCTCTTCCACGTGCCACTCACTTGCCGGTCATTCTCCCAGCCTCCAGCCGTGTCGGAATTCCAAGCGTTCAGCAAAGCCACCTAGTTTCCATACAACCCGGTGCAAAATATCATCTGCAAAGTGAATTTTTTCTTATTTCCTTCTGCCTTCTTGCGCTTTCATTAATGTCACTCCAGCTTATTGAAAATAGACTACCGATCAGTTCTCCCGTTAAAAGAGTAAAATCTGTTTTTAAGATCTCAGTTGACAACTTGCTGCCCTAAAGGAGGAAATTTGCAGGGAGCATTTTGCTGTTGAGCAGTACCTGGCAAGGACACGTGGTTGTACACAGATACACACTTCTTCTTCCAAGTAATTTTGAGCACTACTGGCAATTTTGCTTTGATTTAAATTACATAATGTTAGCATGCCACACTGAGAATAAGATAGTTATTGTCAGCAGAGTAATGAAATATTTTACTGGTATCATAAATGAAACAAAACTACATCCACCTTCTCTTTGAACAATCAATATCCTGTAGTTGTGCCTCAAACTATCTCCTGGGGCTTTGTTTTAAAACGGCAAAGAGGAAAAATGCAGCAGCTTGACGCTATCAGCATATGGTATTTAGCAGCATTATCATCACTTTAAATATACAGATCCCATCTACAGGTTGAACACAAACATTTTTTGAATTGCACAGAAGAGAACAATTTCAGCGTTCACAATTTTCATCTATAGTCAAGCACTTTTTACAGTCTTGTAACAACTGCAGTGGCAATGAATATCATGTACCTTTCAGAGATGGAAAAAACCCTTTAGATTTTAAAAACAGGATTTAAAAATAGATATTGTCTATTTTAAAAGGAGGCAGAGAGCTGTAGTCTTTCCACACTGAAGGCAAGCACTGAAACTTAAATAATGAACTCAGATACCATCTTCCAATATATGTGAAATGGTTCAAGAGGTGACCTAGCAAACTAAGAAGCAAAGAGACAGACTTCTCATTTAAATTAAGACATGAAGATAAGCATGAGACACTTAAAAGTTGGAAACATTATTTTTTCAGAAGCACTGAAATATTTCTAAATGTTTAGGAGTGGGAACATCAGAAATCCCAGTCAACTGGTATTAAAGAAATCTCCAACACTTGGGCTACCAGGTGATACTACTTCTACTGAAGATTTTAAAGAAACCAAACCCCTACTTTGACCAGTTATTTTTTTCCCAAATGAACCTGTACAGGCAAATGGATCAGCTAGTATCACGGAACGTGAAATGCTGGAACAAGTGCAGAATGACTTTTCCCCCAGAATAAATGAAAAGGACTAGGACATTTAGTTAAGCCAGTCAAGTACACCTGAAATGCTGGGAGGAGAACAGTTTGTGCAACAGGTTATCGATGTTCTGCTTGCCATCACCCGGTGATTTATGTTTCATTCTGTTCTGTGATGGCAACGATCCCATATACTTAATGCAGTCCTGAGCAGTTTTAAAATCAGGGCTTCACAATCATTTGTATGTTATATTTTTCCTATTTCCCCCCCAAATTATAAAAAGGTGAAAAAAACCCCTCCAGACATTATTTTCAGAGAAATGAAAACCAGATTTTCTTCCTCCTTTATGCATAGGTTGTTTGGAGATGGTGCATCAAATGCTGCTCTTGTTAAAATTCTAGATGAACACGCTGTTTTCCTCAAACACAGCGGCATCGGGGTGAATTACCCACTGAGGTCCAGTTGCAAAAGAGGCAAAGACGACTCCCAGGGAAAGGCTCTGGCAGCACAGGGATTTTTTCCAAATCATCTGTGTCGCTCATGCCTCAGCCTAAGTTACAAAATTACTGCGGTACGAGCAGCTGACGAAAAGGATTTTTCTTATAGTCTGCGTCCATTTTACCAGGTATTGGTGGTGTAGTCACAGATAATTAGCTCAAATTATTTAGTTGAAAAGTAAAATGGTTAAGGAGAGTATTACAGCTGCACGTTCACCTGCAGGAGCTAACACTGACTCGCGGGAAGCTGCCTGCTCTGTTTCTATCACAAGAAATTGTAGAATCGGCTCGTTTTTTTCCGTCAGCAGTAATGGGGGATTTGCAGTTTGCTAAGTACAGACAAGATTGACAGCTCGTGGATTAGCGCTAGTATTCCTGGGGGTAACACCAACGTACCGAGGGTATGCCCTCAGCTCTGATGGTCTTCAGTTCTGCAGACCCGGTAAGTAACACCGTATGCAAGATACCTTTTTCCAGGTCTGCTCCAAACTACTAAACAGTCGGCGTGCATCTCAAAAACCACGTCTCTTCAGAGCAGCTTCAGCTCCCGGTGTCAAGTGAAGACTCAAGCTTACAGTGTCTTGATCTTTACAGTAATTGTCTAAATCTTGTTAAGGTTTACAATCGACTGGAGTGGATGTAGGTATGCGTTGGATAATTTGGCAGACGAGAAGGTGGAGTAGAAGGCATACTGCCTATATTAAACGCTGTTACACTACATTAGAAATAAAAATAAAGTGAAAAACTGCACAAAACTAGAAAGGAATAAGGGCTTACATTTATACCGTAAGAAGTCCTCTTCAGTTCTAAATGACAATTTTGGGAGAACAAGCGCAAGCCTGTTCTTACAGTCCTGATGTTCAGACAGACACTATATTCATGGGCTGAGCAGCTAGCGGTAAGCCGGATAAAAAGAAACAGACACGACACAACCACACTGGTGTTCTACACGCAAGGCCGGTGCTGGGAGCTGGTTAACGTGGCCCACGGCCCATCATCTGCCTTTAGGAAACGGTGGGTTTCAGTAACCCGGAGCGCAGGAGCTGCCGTGTCGAATTAGACTCCAGCTTATCCAGCCCAATACCCTGCCCTCCACATTCGTAGCAGCAGATGCCTCGAGTGATGGTGAAAGCTTATGGGTTTAAAAACTCCCACACGGCACCGGGCTTTCACATCCCTAAGTGGGGAGGAAAAGGTTAAATCCGTTCCCTTTAATCCAGTTCTGGCTTGGCCATATTTAGACTAACCTACTGCACGCAACAAATGCACCTTGTATACGACAGATGAGAACAGCTTCCCCAAATTTTAAAATACTTGCATTTGATCGGGAAACACTCTTCAGGCTTTACCTCGCTAAATCACTTTATTTTTTACTCTCTCCTCACAACAAAACCACTACAAGTTACCACAAGCAGCTTGTGAGCTGGCTCAGACTAGATTTAATAAACAGATAACACATCCTGTCAGCCCAGATTGAGAGGTAATTCCCAAAGTCTGCTCCGAGTCACGATCTGAGTTTCTTTTTAGGGTGGTGCACACCGGTTTGTACGCTCAAATTCCTAAAAGTCTGCAAAAACTGATTAGAAACCCAAGCGTTAAAAATCAGAGTGAGGAAGGGCTCTGTACCTCTGCTTGAATACTCGTGACTGATCCTGCAATTCCGTTCTCGGCGCTTATGTTATTGGAGCTGTTGTTTGGAGAGCTGGGACCAGATCCAGGAGCACTGTTGCATGCAGAGTCTAAAAACACATCCAAAACCAACTTTCAGCGTTACAAACAATCTCCGCGATGGTATTTAGACAGATAACAACCCCTTGAGTTTTGTTTGGGAGGAAAGGAACCCTCCTCCTCCCCATCTCCCCCCCTAAATCTTCCCAGGGCTCTTGAAATACTGACGAACACTTTCAAATGGTCTGTCCAAGTACCTACTTAACATATTTATGTCTTCTCCTCATGGGGATTTCTCTTATAGTGTATTAATAACTTTAAATACGATTGGAAGATAATAGAAGACATGGAAGGCTTGAAGAGGCCAAACTGGAGGATGTCAGATTGTCCTGCTTCATTTTTCTAGAAGTGCTTCTCTCACCCTCTTTAGCCTGTAACCCTGACGACACCCTCTTGCCACATCAGACCTCACGCTGGAACAGCCAAGGAACCATCTCAGCGTTGACGTTCTCCCGTGCAGGCTCCTGGTGCATCTGGCTTTACTGGAAATGCGCTGCCAGCACCCAGCCCTCACACGTGAGAGCTGACCTCTGCTTTTATAAAGCAGCACTGAGATTTTCTGGGGCAGGCGAGCGGGCACACGTAACGTCCCCGTCCCCTGCGAAGTGCCCGCACCGTGCCGGCTCCTCGGAGAAACACGACCTACCTTGGGCTGCCCTTCACACAGCACGGCAGCTCCCGCGGCACTGAGCTCCCCCAAACTGCCCAGGGACTGACTCACACGGCTGATAGTTTGCCAGGATGGCAAATTAAATTATTTTAAGAGATTTAAAAGCTGATGGAGACGGCAGCGGATGGACAACCGGCCACGCTCATGGCTGAGCACATTTTACAAAAATCAGGCAAAACTCTACAGGGTCCAAAGCACTAAATCTGTTTCACGTCACTTTTTTTTTTTTTTTTTTTTTTTTTTTTTTTTTTTGGAGGGGAGGAAGGTGGGGAAGTCTTTACCACTCGGGGAGTAAAACACTTTGTCATTGAAAACACCCAAGGCAGAGTTAATCCCTCAATCCTGTTATCACCTGAACGCTCAGAAAATCCTTTCAGCTTTGTATGTTTTATCAACAGGGAATTTATTCCCTGTAATCTCGCTAACCAGAATCACAGAGGTGACCAGCCTGAAATCAAAGCCTCACCATTAATGATACAGAAATAATAACAAACAGAAACAGCGCATGAAATTGCAACAGTCAGAAAACTTCCCTCAGATCTCTCACCTGGGGTATGGCACAGCTTCCAGTGTTTCTCCTTTTATTTTGGAAGGTAAATAACATTAAAACTTTTTTTTTCTGAACCTTCCTCCTCCCCAAGCACAGGATTTGCCCAACACCAGAAGAATCTCCCAGCGGCTGCAGCAGTCTCCTAATTGCTCTAGGATGCCCCAGTAGAAATAAAAGCCAATTGTTACAATTTGGGGGATCTTAAAAAATTATTTCTTTCGTGGCATTATTCTGTACATACTATTTTGCTATGTTGATCCTTGCAAGTACCTCTAGCAAAGATTTTTTTTTCTTCTTCTTCTTTTTAAGAAAAAAGAAGCCTTGTTGCTTTTTGCTGGCTACGCATTTGGGGACGCATCTCACTATCAAGGAAACTCAGCACTGAATAACACCCAGCTGAGCACCTAACATTAACATTGAACTTCTCCATGGAAAGCAACCTCGGCGAGTTTTCTGATTGCATGGAAAATAAGTGTTTTTTTCTGGGACTGTGTCATTAACTACAACGTATTAGATCTTGTGCGTGCTACCTCGACATAGGAAATCTACCTGGCGCATTCAACCTGTGAAGATGTATTCTTCAAGGATTAAATGTAACTTCTACTCCCTGCAGTGGGACTTCTTTTAGAAGTTATTTTCCATTCAAAGGTCTCCTCTTACTGTAACAACTCAGATATTTTTCTAGCCAGGCTCCAGCCTGGCTTCTTGAACCAGGTCCACGCTCAGTGAGAAGCTGGAGCTTCCACTGCCATTTCTGAAGGCATCACTGGGACCACACAGTCAGCCACTGGGGCTCGATTTATCCTAAAAGCTGCACGACATACATGAGGAGTGAAGTGAATTCGATTCTCCGATTTGATATAAATTTTGCTTCGCTATTGAAATCGTGTATTCCCTCTGCAAACAGAGAGGCTCTGATACAGAGCGGTGCACAGCCGCCCCAGGGTCTCCCAGAACCACCCTGCTCTCTTTTAGAGAGCTCACTCTGAATTTGTTTGAGTGATGACACTGTGCCTTAAAGCGAGACAAGCCTGGAAAAGCTGTCACACAGCGGCACTTACACCGACGCATCCCTAGATGGTGCTAAGAATTAACTTTATGGTAATGTATATAATCTACTTTACTCTGATCCATCTTTACAAACTTTACTCCCAGAGGAGTATTATTTTTCAACAAGAAACTGTCAAATAAGTAGTCAGGAATATCAGCTATATATATATAAAAAAAAAATGACTTACATGCTTTAAAACTCTGGCGTAATTACTTAACAAGGAACTATGGCAGTCTGCCCAAATCCTAAAACAATCAGAGGTTGTAAAGCATTTACTGCCGGAGGACAACAGCCACGAATTATGGCCTCCTCATGGGTATTAACAGGATCACCTTTGAGAAATTTTATTTCTCGACAACCTGTTGCTGAAGATCACAGAAACGCTGGGGAAAAAAAAGTAGCACTCTGGTGGAATATGTGGATCTGTCTGCGCATGTCGTAAAACAAACTCCAAAAAAAAAAAAAAAACCCAAAAAACCCAACCAACTCTCATTGAGCTGGTAACACTGTCTTAATAGACGGGTACCCAACAGACCGACGCCGCTGACGCCCACTGGCATCATCCACTGCTGAACTCTGCCAACGCTGAGAGGCACACGAGAGATCCCGTCCGCACAAGTAACTGGACGCAGGTATCAATGCTGGAGAGGGACATCCCACATTTGTCGCTTACCCGACGTACCTGTGACATCCAGCGGGCGCTTCTTAAGAGCAGTAACCACCGGACCGTCTTTTCTGCGCAAGAGGGGACTGCTTCGTCTTTCGGCAACTTTTTGCTTTAGTCTGGATCGTAACTTCAGATTGGGTTCAGACGCTGACGAGAAAAAGCAAAAGCAAAGAGTGTTTTGGTTAGTATTATTTCAGCAGTTTCTTACTCAATGCGAAGGCCGGGTTGCAGTTCAGCATCTGCAGAAGCCTAAATGAAATTAGTCATCTGATAGCATTTATTTGGAACAAAGACTTCTTGATGTAATGAACAGGTCCCAGCCTATGCGATATCTGAATTCACTGGCAATGAAAGTCAATAGCATTTTAATGAAAAAAATAATCATCATCCTGCAGTGTCTTCTTTCATATGAAGACACAGACTTACAATCTGCTGTGAACTCATTCAGGCTACTGCAGAGAGCATCATTCACATCCCCTAGCTTCCCATCTCTGCCCAACTCGCTTCCAAGCCAGTGGTAAACCTAACTCATGGGATCAAAAAAAAAATCAATCCAGGAATTGGTGAGACAACTGAGATGTTGCTGTTTGGTCAGTGTGGAGCATCACCGTGGGGCTGAGACGCTATCTGTGACGTGTTGCTGAAATGGGCAGCTCCACACCCTTGGAGTCATCCGACCCCATGGTGAGCTGGCTTAGGCAGGTATGCCAGAGGAGGGGGAAGGAAAATACGAAATTCAAACCCCACAACCAAAACGGGCGAATCTTTTTCTGCTGGTTCACCTCCCTGAAGCGACTCACCTTGGAGTCAGATGAGCCCGTGTCAACTGGAGCCAGGTCAACTCAAGAAAAAGGGCATGAGAGTGTGGCCAAGGACAAAGCCAACGCCAGGGAGGAGAAGGTTTGTTTATTTGGGGAGCAACTTGGTTACATCATCGCAGCCACAAAGTTAAACCATATCTAAAAACACATCAAATACTTCGAAAATTCAGGGCTGCCAAAGGTAGGTGTGCGTGTATTTCCTGAAGCCAGAGTCTGACTTGCTTTGTGTACATCATACTTTTGGGAGACTCTCTTAAAAACTTCTGTTGTGCCCAAATCCTGAGATTTCATTTCTCCAAAAGTCAGAGCGGAGCTCCTGGGAACCCCCAATGCCTCAGGGTTAATGACTGCTGGCAACACCGAACACACTTGCACAGCTTATCAAGTTTTTATAAAGGTAATGAAGGCTTAAGTCAAGATTCCTCCTGCCAGATGATTTTCTCTGTAAACTTTCTGATCTCTTGAGTATACATGAAATATCTGCTTTGGCGCTTGAGGGCTCCTGACAGTTAGGAGATTTGTGAACTGGCCCAATCTTTTCCCTTCCTCTAACTCTTAAAAACTCTGCAGCTCAATCCCTTTGAACCGGCAAATCCTGTGCTCTCACCATTAACTAATGACACACTCTGCTCCCTACACTCCTGGGCCAATAATCTACATTTCTTTAGGAAAACTAAAATAGGGTTTACAAACTGATTTGAATTAACTAAGTCCGGCTATAGATATATTTCCCTACAGCTGGCTTTGCCACTGGGTCACGTAAAAGAGCAAGCCTGACAATGTTAATTGCAGGGCTCAAAAATTGGAAGGCTGATGAATTCAGCATCAAATGCTTGAAGTTAAACCCTCAAAACAGTTCTCTGATGAAACTTTTGGGAGGAAAACAAACAAACAAAAAAGAGCTTTTCATAAATGTTTTGGATGGAAAAAATGCTACCAAGAGATAAAGGTAGCATAAAAAAAGAAGTATCAGACTCCTCAAGACAATGCTTAAAATGCAGTACGAAGTGCACTAGCAAAGGGGGAATCATCTTACATGGCATTTGCATATAAAATGGCATGGGACCGAATGTAAATCTGTCATTTTTTTTGAAGGGCAATATCAGAAGAGTGGACTAGTTAAAACATAAGCGTATGCTCTAACTAGCTACTTTATAAAGTTCTCTTCAAAACAGAAGCTGGCATTGTTTTAAAAGTAGTCTTTGGGCATATGAACACTTGGTACCTCATCCCCCATCCTTTAATTCACAATTTTTATTTGTTCCAAATATCGAGTATTTGAAACTGTCTTGAAGCTCTGGTCAAGATTTTAAAGAATAAATGGGAACATGTCATAGCTAGATGCCGATACATCCAGTTTAAATACATTTGCATTGCCAACCAACAAATGAAATACAAATACAAATGAAATACAGCTGCTGAAAGGATCTGTCTTCTGACACAGAAAAACATGACAATAAAAACTGTACTTCAGCGCAAGTTTTATTCATATGCAATTTATACCCTGCATGGTGTTCATCTGAAGTACGTCTTCTGTGGGGAACAGACAAGTAATTGTGTGGCTTTCAAATACAGAGAATGAATTGGTTAGAAACACCTTAAAATGGCAGGGAAACGAAAGATCTGGGGTCACAGATTACCCAACACGACCAGATACGTCCCATACATAAAGCCACAATAAAAACATCCTTCCATGTAACAGGAAGGGAATGAGCATAGAAAATTACAGCCTTAAAAAAGAAAACACCTCAAGAATAAGTTACGGCAAAAGCAGTGTATTATAATTTGTCAGACAAATCTACTTTCAGGCGAAACTACTCCATGTATTTCTCTTTTGCTTCCTCAGCCGGAGGACCGAGTTTTGAAACACCAGTCTATTTAAAGAACTGCATTTGTTCAGTTCCCTGTGATTTTCTTCCATTTATCCCCCAGATATAATCCCAAATCTAACATGTCATCAAGACCTCAGAGAGCATCATCCCTACAAGCATTTAATTGGGTGCTATATAGCCCAAAGTAGGTGAATTAAAATTCAGCACAGGCAGCACAAAACAGTCTCAAATTCAAAGAATTTCCATATAGCATATTTTATAATAGAACATGTAGCTTTCAACAGAGGCATTTCCAAAACTCAAAACAATACTTTAAGCTTATTCAGATGGTTTTTAAACTACTCTATAATGAAAAATATTTTTTAAGCTAAAGAGACCTGTCCCTCAAAAGTATAAAGTAGGAATTTAAGCAACACACAACTATCAGTACCAGAGACTCAACACAGGTTCAGCGTTGTCTAAGGAAGACCAATTCCACCGAAAACCTCCTGATATTCACCCTGTCAGGCAACATGCCCTAACAAAGCCTTGCTCCCCATCATTGTTAGCTAGCATAAATTTAAGACAGCTAAAGACCAAATTACAAAACTTACTAGTCTTCCACATCTTAAGGTGAGGTCTTTTAAACAAATGCCCTAAAGTTATCAAAAAATTAGTTTGATTCCTGTTTAGCAAACAAATGAAGGCCCTGCCCAAGTCTGAGTCAGCTTCCACAATGCCAGTGGGATTTCTTCAGCGGTGACATATTTAATTTGGCCTATAATAAGGATTTATACAAAGAATATTTTGTTTTCCTCCAAGTAAATTAATAACTAGAGCATAAGCCAAAAGCTTCCCTAGTTTTCACAGGCTCAAACCCAAGTTACCCTTCTTATACGTCATTTATTGCAGCAGGATCCGTGTAATCCAATTCTTCAACATTTATGTCATTCTCATTGTTTTCTTCCTAGAATTGCATCCACTAAGCTGCTGAACTAATCTGACATTAAGTCTATGGAAGTCAAAGAACACAGTCCTGGGCAGCATTTGCCCTGTTCCCATTACCCATCTACATTTATGGAAAAAAAAAAAAAAGAAAACCATGCACCATGAAAGCCCTGATTCCAGTCCTTGCACATCTTAATTTCAGCAGCTGGGGACTGAGAAGGGAAACTTATTCTTTTATTATTATTTTAAAGCTCCATACTAAGCCTCACCAGCCAGGCAAAGACCAACACAACTACCTTGTTTCTCTCCTAACATCCAGGTCACCCCATGGGTAAGCACAGGAGAGAGACAGCTGTCTGAAACTAGCCTTTTGCACATCACAAAATTTTAATAAAGATGAATTTTCTTTTGCTTAAGCAGGAGAGACCACACGTCCTGCAATTCAGTACTCGCTCCCCACTCTGTGGCTTCTTTGCTCCCTGGCTGGCTCTATCCCAGACCTTCATTACTGCTCCTTCGTGTGCATGGTGTGGTCTCCCCTCTCCAAAAATTGTGGATCGTGACCCATCTAGTCAGGAGGGCCTGCTAAAACTGGACACAGTAAAATTCATCTCTGGTCAAACAAAAAGATTGAAAATTGTTTCACCGTTATCCCTCTGAAGCCCAGGCAAGCCAAGGTGCTGGATTTTCAACACTTGTAGGCATCAGCATAGAGGGGGACAAGACGAATAGGGTCCCACAAACATACCTAAGAGAGACAGGTACCACAGGGCAAAAGTGGCAGCAGAAAATCCCCAAACCAGAAAGCAAAACAAGAATAAAAACAAGACAGCCTGCTCTTCTGCAGAAACAAAGCGTTTTTTATGCCATCCAGCATGGTACTAAGCTCATCACCTGAAATAATACGCCTAGGAACACAAGTACATGATTAGAAAGGGACAGATAAAGACATTTGCTGCGTTTTCTTCCTCTTCTCCTAACACTGCGTTGGCACAAGCACTGTGGAAGAGCTCTGTGGAAGGGCTATTTCTGGAAGTACCGTGTCCTTAAAATTAAAACTTATTAAAGGTCAGCATTTGGCACTTTTCATGCTGAAATTTAGTAGTCGCAGCATTTCAGCAGTAGAAAGAAGGCTCTAACGCCCATTAAACTGAGCACAGAACGCTGACACTTTTTACAGCTTTGCTATCATTTGCTTGCCTGACGACAAAACCACACAAAATCACAGCGTAACGGAGAACCACGAAGGTTTCCGCTGCGAACAGCCAAAACTGGACTAGAAAAACAAACACGTGGAAATGCCACATCTCATTTCTGTCTTTCCCTCTCCAAAGCCTAAATAAAGACAGCAGCTCTGCACAGTTCAAAGCATTAGCTGAGAGGAAAGGTAAGAGATATGTGAAAGGGACAAGGAATAGAAAGGAGAGAATAAGATCCTCCAAGCGAGTTTCTCCAATAAAGTGTTTAAACCAGCACTGAGCTCTGTAGAAGGTAAGAGAAAAAGAGGCAATTTCTGATAGCAACCAAAAAGCTGCAGTACCTGGAGCAGAGGGAGCCACCAGCTGCC